ATTGTTATATACTTTTGAAGCTACATACAAGTAATTATAATCATATCTCAATCAATCCCATGATGTAAAAAGATAATGAATATTGGTTCCATTTTATAAATAGGAAAACTGAGGAATGAATAGATAAGTTGTTCAAATTTAGTATTAGCACTGAGACTTAATCCATGTGTTCTAAATTCCAGACCACTTAATTTCACACTAAATCAGATAATTAAATTTATTTATTCATATTTTAATATATAAATAAAAAATTACTTATCTGCTAATTTATTTCTTTCATCATTTATTTTCAATTTTATCTGTCACTCATTTTTTATTAATTTTCTCTGTTTTAGTTGCACTTACATGAACAGGTATCATGATGAGAAATGAAAAGAACTGAAACATTAATGAGGATCCAACTGGAATAATGGGGTTCTCTAATGCTCAACTACTCACAAGGAAAATTTTACTTACATAGCCATTTATTATAAAGAAAATTTGAAGTTTTGAACTGAGAACTTAAGCTTTTGAGGTTTCTGCTGTATTTAGTTTTGGAAAAGTTTATTTAAGTATTATTTTCTGGATATATATCAATATAATTTTAATGGTGAGCAAACTAGAAAAACTCAAACATTCCATTACAACTGATGCTCTTCTCCAGTTAAACATCAGGGAAAGTCAGAGACTTCCAAAGCGAGCAGAGCACGCTAGGAGAATAATCACTGTGAAGGGACACCAGGAATTGGTTTGACATAGTTGACATCTGTGATCTTCATAGCTTGTCTGGTGCTCACAGTAGAGTTCATGTATTTCCCTGGACCCAAGACATCTATGAGAACATCAATATCAGACGCGTTCACTTCAGAGACAAAAACAAGGTCACAGTACAGTCTACAAAACACCAGAGCTAAAATGAGTAGATGCTACTTCTTTACCAATTATAGTTAGTCTTCCTTTTTTTAGACTATTTATCAATATAGCCCATCATAGACTTGTAGACTTGTTCTTCTTTCATAACCACAGCCAACCCAGAACAATGTTCCTGGCTATTAAACTCTCCCTGAAAGCACCTGTGTAAACCAATGTCTTTTTCTTAAGGCTCTTCTAACCCTCTGTGAGATGCCTCACAGTTCTCCTTGTTAGTGTTTTCTCATGGCTGAAGATAACAAACTTAACTTATGATCCTGGTGGACATTGGCTGGAGGGCACTGACATAATACAAGTAATATTAATTTCAGTGTTTTCAGTTTATGAAGCACCTCACATAGTTCTCCTAATAGTCCTGTGAAGTAGATATTGCTAACACCCACATTTTAAAGATGAAGAAACTATGGATCAGAGGAGTGACACAATTATATTATGAGTTAAAAATCTAAATTTAAATGTGTCCTTGGCAAAAATCCAAGATCCTTATATAATACCACATTAATATATTACTAAATAGATGTAGAAGATATCCTTTAAAAATTGAGATAAATACTAGAAATTCACATATTTGAATGTCAAGAAAATCTATTCAATAGTAATTTATTAGCTATTACCAGGTTCAAAGTTCAATGGAGAAATAAGTAGAAAATAGGAGAGGGGCTCCTTTTACTCAAATACACCAATTAAAACCATTATAAACTCAATATTTAATTAGTAACTACAATGAAAATTCAGAGAAAATTAAAAAATAGATTTGACTGAACTTTAAGTTTGGTGAGATAAGAGAAACAGATCACAAACACCATCAAACACACACACACACACACACTCTCTCTCTCTCTCTCTCTCTCTCTTCAGTAATATTCATGTTACTTAATAGTATAGATGACAAAAGTGGGAAATGGAGATCACAATGTATTTATGAGAAAGTGAATGAATAATAGTGAATTCCTATTGTTACCCCATACTCTGTGCTGCTTATATCCTTTCCCATTAACATGAACCCCTGTTCTCAGACATTGTTACACACATTGAAACTATTAGTTTCAATTAGCAATTATTAATTGATAATTATCAAATTAGGAATGTAATTACAATTTACTAGTTACAAAAAATTAGGAAATGCCATATCTATCTTTCCCTTTTTTTGTCTCTCTTTATATCGATCCCAGGCAGAAGGTTTTCACTCTAACAAAAGTGGGAGAAGGTTGGATATTGACTAAGAAAAGTATCTGATAGGACATTATCTACTCATACATAAATACCAAATTATGTGCAAATTAAAAAAAAATAACTTTCACTATTGAATGTGAACAATACACTCATCCCTACATGATGTTTACTTCATTGTAGGGGTTATACCTGTTTCTTAAAGCAAGATGGTGGAATGCTGTTGTAGCACAATCCCACACTAACCTGGCACTGCCCTTACTACAATTCATATTGCCAAATCTTGCAAAATTTAGTAATGAGTACTGATACAATTTGTGGTTTCTGCCATCTTCTTCTTGTCTGCACTTCATACTAGGTCCAATCAAAAACCAGCTAATGTGGGACTTAACCTACTTCTTCACTACTGAAACACCTCCTGTCATAGCTTAATCCCATAAGAGGACATCTAAGAAATAGGTAGCATGGCTAGAAGAAATGTTAACCAAACCACTGAATCTTCAAATAACCACTTTTCACTCAGGCTGAAGTACTTACATATAATGTTAAAACTGCGTTCAACTTTTCATATTCTTATGTCTGAATCTACATAAGAGATTTTAAATTTTTGAGATAAGGAATTATATTCTCAGTAGTCTTATACCTAGTTGATGATTAATGATGGTTTTATAATCCCTGAAGGTATAATCAGTGAGTTTAGCTATAAGACAATTAGTTCTAAGGGGAATTGCTAATGTTTGCACAAAATACATCTTACATAATTTATAAATGATAATGCACAAATTTTGGCAGAATATGAAAGTATTTTTAAAAATCCCAACTATTAGAGTTTCCTTTCATATCAGAAATAAATTAAGAATATAATATGATAAAAGTTTTACATCTTTTATTGTGTAACTAAATTTAAGAATCAAAATAACAGGAAAAAGAAACAACTCATGATGAATTTAAGTACACAGAGATGGATCTATAATGCTCACTTATGAGAGCATACTGGATGGGCCAGATTTACAAATAAAATAAAAGCATAATGTCCTGAAATGAAGGATCTACATGAAAGTAAGTCATCTGGTTTTAGCTGTCTTAGAGCGATCCCATGGATAGTATAATACCATTAAACACCAGCCAGCTCAAAAACACATATGTTTACTACTTGAATGACAGAGCCACAACTATATCAATGTAGGAAAATGAGTCTTCACATCTGAATTCTCACAATATAGTCTCCTTATACCCTAATGTCCAAGTGTTTTATTCCTGAAAGAGTTCTTCATGGAAAGTAGATTATGAGAAAACTGGATTATAATATTTTAACTGATTAATGATGCTATATCTTTGTATACATGTGGACCAGTTGAGGTAAAAAAATAGTAATAAAAATCAAAGTATTAACAAGTTCTTTAGTTATCTATTACTTTTTATTTACCAAAATTTATTTTTTCATTCACCATAAACAAATAAGATTGAACTATATTTGATTCTCCATTAATGTCACTGAATAGCACTATACATTTTACAAATTCAAAACTTTGAATAAACTTTCCCAAACCCTTAGAGAAATGATAGGATATGAATGTGTATGCATGTGTGTGCCCATCTACGCATTTATATATAGAAAGAATAAAATTGATCGAATGAACTGATATTCTGTGAGTAATTTACAAACAAGTAATCATGACTTTCATTTCCTAATACCCATAATTACATGGCTATTGGCTTATATGGATTATATTCATAATTCATATCATTTATAATGTCCTGTTCAATAAAATTCCTTTATCCCTAACTGTATGCTGTTAAGTATAAGAATTTAGTAGTCCTTCTCTGAAGTAATGGGGAAAATTTAGCTTGTTATTTGAGTGTTTATATAGTTTTTCAAATCTTAAAATGTTTTAGATAGTTAAAATTTCAGAACTTTGAAGCACTGCCTCATACCATAAGATATTGATTTGGGGAGTTTAGAGTGTAAATGGTATTGAATGTGAGATGGATAATGTTTTCAGATCCAACATTACTGGGATTCTGGGTATGTTGTTTGCATATGCAGAAGATGTAACCAAACAGAAAAATCTCCCAAAGAGTTAATGAATGAATTTTTATAGTCATTTGTCATTCTTGATAGATTTTGCCACACATCATTCATATCTATCTTTTTCTGGGAGAGTCTGTCATTTATGTGTATGCATTCCTCCCCGCCTCCAAATTGTGAGTCTCTTGAAGATAGAGATCAGCTCTATTCATTTTGGACATATTTTTGAATGTGTGAATAATCTAAATAATAGTGTTATAAAAACTTCTCTGTGTCATAACTGGTGAAATTAATAAAGATAGAATAGATTTGAAACAGAAAAATTTAACACAACATAAATATGTTCCAAGAACAGACTATATAGTCTTCCATAACCACATAAATATTATATATCATTTATGAGTAATCATTTTATGCAGCCAGCAGTAGATCTGAAAAGTCCAACATCCTACCAAGTATCTGTCATTTTCACACACGGTCAGTGGCAATTCCCTTCCTTAACTGAATGAGCATGAAGGAATGACAGAGGGAGAACCACCACTAAATAAAATCTTTCTAGTTATCATATGAGAGTAACAATCAATTTCAAGATATAAGGAATTCTTGAAATTTTCTTAGAAGGGGAAATCAAGTGTAGATAAAACTCATTGGAAAACATTAGTATACACATTTATAGAAATCCAATAAAGGTGATTCATACTCACTCAAGAAAATATATATTGTTATAAATGGTAGAGTCTGGGAAGGTAACCAATTTGGGGCTAGAAACAATAACCAGGGAGCACATTTTCCAATGTGACTAAAAGAGTTCTATTCTTTTATATCCTATGTACACTAGGAACTGTATATAAAACATATAAATGCAAAGTTCACCAAAAGCAAATATGCTCACCTGGACAGAGGGCGATATTACAAGGCTTATGATGTGTTTCTGGTCCTTCACAGGGCCTCCCTCCATACTGAGGAGGTGTGCATGATCTTGTTCTTGTTCTTTGGCCTCGACCACATGTAAATGAGCATAAACTCCATGGTGACCATTCCTCCCAAACTCCATGTACTGTAATAAAGCAAAGAAGCTTCAATAACCAAACCAGATGGTAAAGCCCAAGATTATTTTCTGTATAATTAAGAAAAAAAAAACTCATTGAATAAAGTATGAGGATACTTTTAAAATTTAGTTGCAATAGCAGTCTTATTTTCCATAAAATTGAAAATTTAATTTAAAATCCATTAAAATAATATTAAACTGTATGCACTTCTTTCTACATTTGTAGTTATGGCTCATGTCAAAAAGCTTAAAAATTCCTTGTGCCTCTCTCCCCTCTTCATAAAACACAAGTTATTTTTAAGTCAAAATAAGATTAACTAAGGTAGAATATATAAAACTAAATTTCTAATAACAGAAATGAACCTCTGGAGTTAAATTTGCATTTAAATTACCAAGGACCAAACTAATTCTTCTAATACTTGTAATGTGTGAGAATTAAAAATTTTTATTGAATCAGAAAATGAAAACAATCTGAAAATTGATGGTATATATTTCAAAAGGTTTTAAATTTCATTTTAGAAAAATCAATATATTTTATTAAAATTTTTTGGTTCAAAGTAACCACCTTTGCCTAAGAGGGTCATTTTAAACACTCGAATAAGATCCTCTTCTTTCCCCTATTTCAAAATGAGTGGTAAACATGAGGATCTCTTTCTAATGGCCATAAAAATCAGAAGACACTCTTCTTTCTCTGACAGCTTGGGAGAACTGAAAGTACTCCTAATTTGTATAAATTTCATTAACAATCCAAGTTATATAACAAAGATTATGACAACATAACTATGAATATACCAAGACTTCACATATTTCATTACAATGAGATTAAACTTGACCAGACATAACAACACGATCTTTGTTCCTTCATAATAACAATTCTGAATAAATACTGGTATCTTTTACAAAAGACTACCAGGCTTCAAAATTTAGATCCCTTCGCTGAATGTTCAAATTACTGCTGTCATCCCAAACTTAATATTTGGGGTATTAAGCCATAGCACCTTGTGGATAACACAAATAAAATGAAGTCAAGAAAAAAAGTAGTCTTCTGTTGAGAAGCTCCTGTCTTGATGTGAGCTTCTGGCCTTAGAAGACCCTAAGTTCAAGGTTACAGAAGAGTGAAATGCCACTCACTGGGAGGAGTGGAGAGGGTAAAATTTATAGTAGAAAATGACAAAAAATTCACTCATTTTCTCTTCAGTATTGGCAGGGGTAAGCACAAATTCATATAAAGTGGCAGAGGAATTATGTGAGTAAATACAATATATTTAGAATTTTCTTCATGTATATGCTGACCAAGTTGTTACCTTAAAAACATCATAATATACTTATATTTAGCTAACTGGAAAATGTACTACCACATAGGATTATCATTTTTGTGGTGAGACTACTTAACATCATATTAAGAGTACAATATGTTGTTATTGAGTACAGCTAGATTTAAAAATTCTACAATGTGCATATATGTCAAAGCATTAGGTAATACATAGGTACATACAATTTAAAACATAAATAAATAAATTTAAAAAGAAACCCACAAATATAATACCTTAATAATGAGGTATACTATTCTCTTCTATTTATGTTATTGGGTTACCTCAACTAGTGGTGAAAATATGTTCAAATATAGGGAAAATTAGCCAAATTTGAGTAATATTCAAACTCTTAAAGATTCTATGCTACATGCTGGGAAAATATTTTAAAGTAGCATAGAAAAGAACAAGAAAGTGAAATAAATTAAGATTTTTTTTTCCATTTTTCCCAAGAAAAGTTGGAAAAACCAAAGCCAATTTGTATCCATTAGTATTAGGATAGATAGTAAGATGATATTTAATTTTAAATATACACATATAGTTTTAAAATATGTGCATATTAATATATATGAGTGTATGTGTATATGTATGTATAATAAATTATAAAATGATATTTAAAAGTAATTTACATGAATGTGTTTTTAAGTAAAATTTATATTTTTATCAACTTTTGTACTTCTTTCCAATTACTAAGATTTCTCCATTTAAAAGCAACCTGTCTTCTCCATTTTCTATATAAAATATTAACACTATCTCATTCATATTTCTGGTTCTCTTCATTTTCTATTCTATAAAATTGTATTGCTTTAATATGCATTGCACAATCCCAGAAAAAATGCTGAATTGGCAAATTTTCTCCATGAATTTCAGAAAATACTGATTAATCTTGATGGGTTTACTTAAATCATGGAACAGGATTCATCAAAAATTAATGTTACTTAGTACTTTTTAACAGTCTTTATTGTTACATGGTGACATTTCATGACTTATTCACATCATTTCATAAAAGCTTAAAATGTTTTTCATTTGACAAAGGTAGTAAATTATTAACAATTTGTTATTTTAGGTATTGAATTAGTGGGAAATTATATCACATTCTTTATAATATTTAAAGACATTTCATAAGACATTTATTAAAAATTAGATGTTTTCATTTTAAAGGAGAGTTGTTACATAAGTTTTTCTACTTTTTTGGCAAAATATGAAAATATATAAATTATATAGTCAATTTGAAAAATAATCATAAAAAACATTTAAGTTCAATAGCTTCATCCATTTTTATAGTTTTCTTCTTTATCTTTGGTACCAGCTATATTATCATATCTCTTCTTTGTGTTGACCAGAGATATAATTTAAAAAATATGAAACACACAAGATATGTTATCACCAGATTTTAAATTATCTACAAAATTAAACAATAATAAATAATTAATAAAATATCTATGATTTAGATTTTATTGTACATAAAATAATTCCTTTCAGTGAAAAGTTTTTTCCTTAATAAATAAATGGATATGACAACTATGACATTTACAAAAATAAAATCCAAACTTATTTTTCAGCCTACGTGGACATCTACTGAATTAGGATACATATGGCATAGATCAGTGATTCTCAACCAGAGACAAATCTGCCCCCAGGAGACACTGGGTAATGTCTGGAAACATTTTGGCCATCAAAACTCAGAAAAAGATAAAGTGCTAGAGGTACCTAGTGAGAGGCCAGGGATGTTGCTAGACATTGAAATTGCATAAGACAGGCCCCCCTGCAACCAAGATTTATCATCAGAATGCCAACAGCCAATTGGCAGAGGTTGAAAAACTACACGTTAGACCATAAATCTAATTGAATCAAGTTGGTAAATATAGAATTAAAAGTAGGTCATTTTCTCAATTTGCTTTCTGTTTATTCCATATTTTCTACTCTAAATAATAAGACCTGTTAAAGAGAACATAACGTCAAAGCAAAAATTTTACAAGAGGTCGCATATCTCAGATTCATATTAGAAATAACAGTTTTAATAATTAGTTTTTAAAAATTCTTTGCAATTTGAATAGTTTGAGTAAAAGTTTATTTATAACACTAGTGATCTATCTTTTATAGTACAAATAAATATAAACTCTAATTCTATCATTCCACATGTTTCATGGAAAGTGACTTTAATATTTAATTTTCTGTTTTTGTGTCATATTAATTAGTTAAATGTTAAATATATTTTTAGTTTCCACAGTATTTCAAGTTGGTTATTTGTTTCTGAACTAATTTTCTTGGGAATTTATTGTTTTAGAAAGATGTTTACATTGTTTAAAATACTGTTTATTTTAAACTATTTTAAAATTCACTATTTTCAGCTTGGCAGACAATTAACCATAATAGTGAGCATAAAATATTTCAAAGCACATACAATAACCATGTAAAATAAATTGCAATTTCATAAACTAGAATACTGATCCTACATTTTTAAATTTAAGAAGTTGCTAAATTATTCTTTATATTTGGAAAATTAAATATAAATTAACAAAGTTCATTATCTTTAATTAAACAAATTGAACTATAACAATGATTACAAGATAAACATTTCTTATCAGTATTATTCAACCAAATTCAGAAAGACAAACATTCCTCTTTATGATAAAAATGAATTTAGTAATTGCTTATATCTTTTTCTATAGATGTAAGGATAAAAGGCTAAGAAATCAAGGAAAACTTTGTAAGCAGAGAACACTGCTCAGTTTTCTGGTCATCAGACAGAGGGAGAGAGCTTGGCAGTTGAACGTGGGAGAAGCACTCTTCTCCTGCTACAGATGCTATTGGTGCCCAGTGGATGCTTAATCAGCAGCCTGTGGCAGAAGGATGGAGATTTCCAAATGTCAGCTTATGAATGTGCATAGCTGGTGAGTGGACATGTAGCTCTGAATGAAAATTCTTTGGGACCTAGTCAAATGCCCTTTGCCATTAGACTCTATCCTTATTATGTTGAAAGCCTCTTGACTATTAAATAGACACTGATGAGATAATTTATGTATCTAGCACAGCTTAAATCTCAAGGAACACTTCTGTCATTAACAAAAAAAAAAAAGAAAACTTGATCATGGGACCCATAGAGTGAATACTCTACGTAGGCACCAGGTTAAGTAAGTGTTCTTCCAGAGGGTCACTGTACTCATACTCAAATGAAGATCCACAAGCATTTACTCTTGTGGTCTAAAGATTTCATTTTTAGAATTCTCAGATCCCACTTTTCTGATTGTTTTCCTTCTCCTGACTTGTGTCTCTCTAGACTCTGCTCTGTGATCCCTATTTTCAAGCATCTTTTCTCATGGTCTTCTCCCTTCCATGACCTCCTTAAGCATTTATTTTTAACTGAATCTTTTTAGTTTTTACTTTATATTCTTTCTCATCTAGTCTGTTTCCATTGGCCCTTGTTTATTGTTCTTGTTTTCAGAAGCAATTACTGTTTTTTGCATTCTTCTTTTTTTTTCGTACCTATCAATGTTTTGCCCTGTTTAACTTTAATTCTTTCTTCATCTACTGCTTTCCTACCTTTCAGTTCTAAGATCTCCTACATCATTATCTCATTCATTCCTCCTACACCTTCTGCCCACCACTTTCTTTACCTGTATATCCCCCATGTTTTTCATTATTGTAATAAAAACCACATAACATAAAATTTACCATTGGAACAATTTTGAGTGCACAATTCAGCAGTATTAGGTATATTCACATGGGTGTGAAACAGATCTTCAGAACTTTTTCATCTTGTAAATAATGAAACTTTATTCCCATTAAACAACAACTCCTTCAGACTGTCTTTTAATGGATCCCACTTGCCTATTCTGTTAGGAAATTGAGTTTATTCTCACCCTTCTTTCATGCTACCCACTCTCTACTCTTGCTTTAAGTAACTACAGAATCAGCTATTTCTGAAAATGGAATTCAACAGGAAACTTTCAAGCATTACTTAGCAGATGCAACACTACTACAGCACCAGTACATCTATATCCACTCTCTTTTGGAGGCCTCTGGAAAGACTGTGCAGTCACAGGAATTTTGCAGTAACCTATCCACCAAAAGTTTAGAACAAAATATAAATATGTGGATTCCTAACATTCTGTGCTTTAGACTTTTTAAAAGAAAAGCCAGATTCCTATTAATACCTTTTTTTTTTACATTTAAGTCAGTGGTTCAAGAGAGAAAAACATCTATTAAATGCATGTGTGCATAGATATAAGAACCAAACTTTGATACAACATAAAAAAAATCTGATCCTTGGTGGGTATGCTATTATGCAGTGTTCCAGTAAACATTAAAGATCTCTTTCTTTTTCATTAATAACTTTATTTTTTCAAAAGAGTAAATGATTCCTTCAAGGGTAATTACTTCAGGGAATTTAATAAAATAAAATAACTGGTCTTTCATCAGGAACACTAATTTTTCTTATAGGGTTCAATAAGTGGTAGGAAAATTGCTGGCTGTTTGGCCTGAAAGACTGTGTCAATCCCTGACTTAAACAATGTCTATCCTATTTCTAGCATGCTGTAAAATTATATTTTACTCAAGCATTTGATTGGGCATTTTTGACATATAAAATATAGGAAAGATATGTAAGCCTTATCCTACAAGAAGCAGATACAGAACTGTGAAGCTGGTATTTGCCACAGGAAGTCAGTCACTTATGTAGGTTCTTCACTGCTCTGAAATAATCACATAGATAGTAAAATATCACAGTTGAGTAGGAATTACACTTATCCACTCTAATTAAAATGTCTATACCCAGTTCAGATGAAAATAACAAATTGTTCCAAATGCGTAGCATGACATAATTCAATAACATCCACAGTTGTAGTTGCTGCTAACACTACCTGGACAGAGGGCAGTGTTATTGCAAACCCTTGATTCTCTTAATGGGCCGCTGCAGTGTGTCCCGTAAGGTGATACACAAGTTCTGGTTCGCACCTGCGACCCTTGACCACAAGTAACTGAGCATGTGCTCCACTGGGACCACTCTTCCACACCAGATTCACCTGCGTGCAAGACAATAAATAAACGTGAAATACTGTCTTGAATACTCACAAGCATTATACCAAACTGACATTATGACATGCATGAATAATTTCAAATGTAAAAATATGATAGTACATCAAAAGGTACAAGAAAACATTTCAGAGAAAAACAAATTTAAAGAGGGACAAATATAATGCTGATACAAAGACCAAACTGGTTCCAGTCTTGTTAGTAAAGCTACTCTTCACAAATTTCACTGTCCTATTGACAAGGAACAAGTCAGCACTTTTCAATAATAATTATAGTTGAAGCAATTCTCTTCAAGCCTTTGATGGAAAAGAAACTAAATATATGTCAAAGCTCACTATGTGGTTTTGGTGAACAGGAATATATGGGTGTGTTCCTAGTCCTTTATTGATAACACTCTTTCTAATGCAAGATAAATGGAGCCCTGAGAATTTGAATCAATTTAACTGTGTTGAACACCAACAACTTTTTTGTAAGTTACTCCATGTGAAACTTTTATTTTTCCATCCTATGATAGATATTTGTTCTGTGGTATTAAAAACCCTTTGCTCACAATTTCACCTATAATCTAGAGAAGTGATATTTACTCAAATTGAAAAAGAATTTCTCTATAATTTCTATTACTTTAGTATGGGCCTAAAATTTATTCCAGAATAGGGCTCCAAGATGTTAAATAATGTCTGAATTCATTAACTTTCTTGGAGTTGGCTTCATCCTGAAATTATGTCTAATTTCTATTATTATCTCAATTCATGTCCCAAGGAGATGCAGCATTGAGCATTGTAAAGACCATTGCAGTGGGCTTCTAATTCTATTCTGGCATCACCTCCAAGATGAATTTTAAAAATGGTTTGAAAGTTGCCATTGCTTCTCTTCAAATTCAAATTGCATCCTATACCTGCTAGCAGTAACTAAGTTAACCATTTGTTTAGCTGTTGAAAACTTTTATAGATGAGGTGTTGTTTGTGAAAACTTTTCATCATTGATTAAATAGATCAAGGGGCATTCTAATTCTATTTTATAGATTCTGTCTGGAATTTGCCTTTGGAATAGAATTAAAAGGATAGTAATGGTAATTCATTTGTTGTTCTTTTTTCTTTGAAGAGTAAACAAATGACTTAGATATTATTTTCAATGCTATTCAAGGCAGCTGGTTCATAAATTGGTGCCCAGGGAAAAGAGAAGTTTGGATCAGAACACAATTTGATACACTGATTTCTTATTTGAGAAATCTGTTGAGAGGGAGGGAGGGAAGGAGGGAGAGAGGGAGGGAAGGAGGGAGAGAGGGAGGGAGGGAGGGAGGGAGGGAGGGAGGGAGAGAGAGAGAGAGAGAGAGAGAGAGAGAGAGAGAGAGAGTGGGAG